GTGATGATTACACACAGACTATATACAAACCTTTGTGTAGTATAGTAATCTATAAACTATATGTGAATTGGGTGCAAATTATAGCTCAATAAAGCTATTACCAAAAAATCAATGTAGATGCTTCTAAGCTACTGATCTTGTTTCTTTTGATCTCTGCAGGATCTCGAAGAAGAGTTAGACATGAAGGACAGAGTGATTAAAAAGCTACAAGACCAAGTCAAGAGTCTAACTAAGACAATTGGAAAAGGTGGGAGAAATAACATTCATTTTCTTATTTCTTGAACTTTCAGCTAAGGTCAACATGTGTTGATGAAATGTTTAGTTTTTGATGTGGCCCAAAGTCTTTGAAACCCAAAGGAATGATTCTCAACTGGCAGGGTTTTGGGGCTCAGTGATGGGGAATGGAAAGAAAGATCCTTTGAGGCAGGCAGATCGCTCACCACCCCTCAGATAATACCACGTCTGTCCTTCCCAACCCTCGTTGTGTCCTCATTGTTGGAATGGATGAATGAACTGCCATCTCTGCATAAGGACTTCCACAGCCTACCTCCCACTCCTCACCTCTTTGCCAAAGTCTCAGTCCTTTTGCCTCTAAGATTACCTCCTTTGCCTTTCTCTTATCACCTCCAACTCAACGTGTCTAAAGCAGAAATGCATCAGCTTCCCTTCCTGTATTAGTTTTCTATTGTCATAACAAATTACCCCAAACTTAGCAACTTAAAACAACAAACACTGTGTGTTGCTTCACACAGTTTCTGAGGGTCAAGAATCTAGAAGCAGCTTAGCTCAGTGCTTCTGGCTCTGAGTTGCAGTCAAGTCGACAACAGGGACACAGTCATCTGAAGGCTAAACGGGGCTAAAGGATCTGCTTCAAGTTCATTCACATGACTGTTGGTGGGAAGCCAATATCTCCTAAACACTGCATAGGTGGCATTAGCTTCCAGGGTTCCTGCAAGGAACATGCCCACATATAAGTCTTCACACTCAAGAATACCCAAAGTTAAGGGGGAAAGGAGGACCTATGTAATACTTTCAACAATAAAGATTAAAAAAAAAAAAAAAGAATACCCAAAGTATCCTTATCAGATACATCTGCTTCATTTATTGTTCTTCCTGGTCCGATGCAATTTACCAATCAGAGGTCATTCTTTTTTTATTCTTATTGAATTCTTTTTTAAAATTCTCATCCAAGGATATGTTTTTATTGATTTTAGAGAGAGAAGGAGGAAAGGAGGGAGTGAGGGAGAGAGAGAGACATTAATATGAGAGAGAAACAGGATGAGCCACCCAGCCAGGGCCAGAGGTCATGCTTATCATAAACAGTGTTGCTTAGTAAAGCAGTTGACACTCTACCTTTATCAGTCTCCAAGGGAACAGAGCTAGTAAGTTAAAAGAGAAATTCTCACGCAGTAGGAAGAGAGTTCTGTAACTCTTTATCTACACCACCTTCTTTTTCATCCACCAAAGGCTACTCACTTCTCTTGGCCCAACTGGAGTGCTACCTCCTTCAAGAAGCATTTTCAACAGCTTCAGTTCATCTCTGTGTGAATCCTAATGGCCCTTGTGTTAATTTCCTGTGGCTGCTATAACATCACCACAAAATTAGTGACTTGAGAGAGTGCAGATTTATCCTCTTAGAGACCTGGAGGTCCGAAGTCCAGAATGGTGCTCACTGTGCTAAAATCAGCCAGGCAGCATTTCTTCTGGAGTCTTCAAGGGAGAGTCCATTCCCTGGCCTTTGCCAGCTTTTAGAGGCCACCACATACCTTGGCTTGTGGGCCCCTCCCCCATCTTAAAATTCAGAAGCATGGCATTTTTGAAATCTTTCTGACTCTCTAACCTCTGCTTCTGTCATGAGACCTCATTCTCTCAGAATGTACATGAATCTTTGGGGACCAGAAGGTAGACTGTGGCCCACCCAAATGTCCCTCTCCCAATCCTGGGAACCTGTAAATATGTCACCTTACATGGCAGAAGAGATCTGCAGGTGGATTAAGTGAAGGGTATTGAGATGGAAGGTTATCCTGGATTATCCACATGGACCCAATACCATAAGAAAGGCAGGAATGTCAGAGTGAGAGAAGGTGATATGAAAACAGAAGTAGATGGAGAGGAGATATGATGATAGAAGCAGAGATTAGAGTGATGTGGCCACAAGCCAAGGAATTCAGATAGCCTCTGGAAGCTAGAAAAGGCAAGTAATGGATTCTCCCCCTACAGCTTCTAGAAGGAGCACAGCTCTGCTGATTGATTGATTTTAGCCCTATGAGATCCATTTTAATCTTCTGATCTCCAGAACTATAAGATTAAAATTTTGTGTTGTTTTAAATCACTGCATGTTAATTTCTTACAGCACATGGGACACTAATACAGTCTCCTCAGGGTCATGCACTTTGGAACTTTGTACACCAACTGTTTCGTGAATCTTGCTTCCTTAACTGTAGCATCAGATCTTAAAGACAGGGGCCACCTCTTGGATTGCTTTCGTATCCCAGTGTGCTGGATGCGTGCCAGGCACTCATAAGTGTTTCTTCAAGGATAACTCAACCTTTTCAGCAGAAGCTATACTCACTGATATACTCACAGATAAGAATCACTATCAGAAGAAATTCTTCAGCACTCAAGAAAGTTTTCATTGATCTGAAATCCCCAGAAGTTCCGGTGCCAACCAGTCAGAATAGGGTAGAAGGAGATGAAGAGTCCTATTATAAAGCCTGTGGGCGTTGTTTTTGAGTGTTTAACTAATTGTTTACGTCTGTCTACAGCCAATGATGTGCACTTGTCCTCGGGACCCAAGGAGTACCTGGGAATGCTGGAGTACAAGAGGGAAGACGAGGCCAAGCTCATTCAAAACCTCATTCTTGGTAGTGAAACCTGGAACTCTGAATTTTGGCTTTATTTTGCAAACTTGAACATCAGCCATTGCCACAGTCCTGAGTGCTGGCAGTCCCTTCTCTTCTTTCACTGCTTCTTGCACTAGCCCGGAGTTTCTCAGCCTCGGCCATGTTGAGCAGATACTAGTAATTCTTTGTTAGCGGTGCTGTGCATTGTAGGATATTGAGAGGCATCCTTGGCTTCCACCTGTAGAAGCCAGTAGCAACTTCTAGTCATGGCAATAAAAAGGTATCTCCAGACATTGCCAATACCCCGTGGGGATGCATTTCCCTCAGCTGAGAAGCACTGCCCTAACCTCCTCCCAGCCCTAATCACAGGGCCCGGATAGAAGACTCGCTTCCGCAGCTTCGGGTCTCAGAACAGGGTCCTTGGTGGGAGTGAGCGTGGCTGCTGTGCCCTATTTGACTTCTGCTGAGAAGTGTATTTGCAGGCAATGTGACTGGGGCTTCCCAGCAACACCCTGGTTGCAGGAATGTCCATGTGCATCATGCTCAAGGGTTGGTGGTCTGAGAACTAATGGGACGAGACTGTCTTCACCATGACAACCACATGCCTCTTTATCAACTGGTCCCAGGATCTCAGAGCGGAAAGCCGCTGTGCAGCCTTACTACCTCCTCATCTAAGGGAGGAAGGAGCACCCCTACCCTTCCTTTCCACCCTCGCTGGGGCACAGCTTTGGAGCCTCCTCTTTGTCCCCCCGTTTTTATGCAGCCACCGGGAGGTCTTTGTTCCTTATCTTAATTTGTTCTATAAAGCTTCTCTCTCCCCTTCATCCCACCTGTCTCCCCACCACTCTCTCCTCTCCAAGCCGGCAAGGCCTCCTCTGCGGGACTGTCGTGCTCCTGTTTTCCAGATTCAAGGCAGAGATCGTATTGCATCCTCGTCATAGAGATGAGGGTGGGATGCTTGGTACTGCGGTTCCTCTCTTACGCTAGAGATCTGAAATCGGGGTCTCCACATCAGGGAGAAGGCACTTTGCAAATGAGAAGGAAGAGGAGCAGGTAGCATCTGAACATTTTTGCCAAAAGAAGAGCCAAACTAAATTCCTCAAACAGAAAAGACATGCCTGTGCATTCAGGCATTGCATGGAGTGCATCGGGCACAGAAAAGCAAATAACCCCGCCCCATAGTCAGAGGTTCCTTCGGGGGAGAGCTGACCACAGCGGTCATCCTCACTGACTCTTTCCGCTCCAGACCTGAAGCCCCGCGGCGTGGTGGTGAACATGATCCCCGGGCTGCCGGCTCACATCCTGTTCATGTGCGTACGCTACGCAGACTCTCTCAATGACGCCAGCATGCTCAAGTCCCTCATGAACAGTATCATTAATGGCATCAAGCAAGTGGTTAAGGTAGGAACTACCTTTGACATTGGCCCTTGGAATGATAGGTCCTTTAGCAACATCTGTGGGGATGACCAGATGCCCATCCTTTACCTCCTGGCTTTGGTGAACCACATGATTCCTCGAACCAGTCTGAGGCCCAATCGGTGAAAGAAGCCAAGTTGTTAGGAAAAGACAAGTTAGGTCAGGGATCCCCAAGGGTAGGAATCTGCTAATTGACCTTGAAGGCTTACCTGTGAGATTACAGCCTCGTAGCCACCACCCTCTATTTCTATCCCCTCAGGGTGTCAGAGTCCCAGCTGTAATGTAGGAAGTGTGAAAGGTGAGGAATGGGAAGGCCTGAAAAATTACTCGTCTATAACTGTCCCTTCTAAAACTACATTGTGCACCCTTAGTCCCAACTCAGAAACAAAGACGAGCTGCATGTTAGTAGAAAGCAGTAAAACACAGATCCAATATTTTCATTCCCCTTCCACGTGGGGAGCAATCTTTGATGTTGGGATATACTGAATTTTTAGTTGCCAAAAGGTCCTGTCTCACTTTTAGTAAAATATATGTTCTAGTAGAAATCATGAGTAATTAAATCCTATTTTAAATATCCTAGGAAAAGAGAAGAATAAAAGCAGTGGATGTATGAGAGGTTAGAGTAAAATTTTGTACCAAGAATTCATCTGGAGTTAAGAGGAGAAAATTAGCATTTCTTTGGTCCTGGGTCCTTTATTGTCTTTGTCTTCACAGTAGCCACCAGAGCGTCCTAGGAAGGGCCTCCCATATGTGGATATTTCCCCTGTCCATATTTTCATATATCGGGTTTTCTTAGGACACACTTGCATTGTATCCCAGGATGCAGGCACACAGTATTTGCCCCGTCTTGCTGCTCTGGAATGTTTAAATATTTAGAAAGTGAAAGATGCCTGACACGAGGAGTATAAATACTTTCCCACCAGCATCTTCTGTCTCAGCTTCCCCAACGGCTCCCTGTCCGCTGCCTTTGCTGGTGCCTGTACCTGCCCCTTCCGCTCCGGTGCACAGCACATTGAAGCAACCCTCACTTGGCCCCACACCCTTAGCCACGGTGCCTTTGCCTCCACCCCCATCTCCCCTTCTGCCAAAAGTGTTTAAACTAGTGCTCTCCACCAGTTCTCTTTTTCATCCCTTGCCATCTGGCTTCTACCCCGTCACTCCACAAAAAGACCACCGGTGATTCCTCTTGCTGAATCCAGTGGTATTGCTGTAATTCCTATTCTCCTAAAATGGAAAGAAGCAGTAGCAACATCTCTTTGACAACTTTGTATGTTGTCTTTCAAATCCCAGGACTTCCCTAGTGTTCCTTTCACCTCTCTGATCACCATACCTCTGCCTTTTCCGTTGTTCCTCTTCGTCCTGTCCCATAAGTGGGGGGTGCTCTCCCCAACAGTCCTGGATCCTGAGCTCTTGTCTGTCCCCTGCTTTCAAGGAGGACCATCCCCTCGCTTCTCTCAGGTTTTCTCAGCTGCCCTGGTTTCCCATGGTCCCTCCATCCTCTGAGCACAGTCTACATCCACCACATGGGCAATCGGCCACCTAATTACTGTGTCCCATATGTTATGTCCGTCCTCCCAGTGGAGTGGGAACTTTGGAAGGCAAGGCCCGAGATGACATTTCTCTGGTATTCCTGCAGGGCCCGATTTAAGCTTCAAACAAGTAACCTGCTAAATAACATAAGGGCCTACCATTATAGCACAAATTTAATAAAGGCTTTAGTGACTAAAAGAGGACTCCATTTTGGGCAAAGAGACTAACCAACAGGTGAGGTAAGTTTGATGTTGCTCAGAGGCACCAATAATCACCAACTCCACCTTTGTCTTTTCTTGTTTTGTTTGTTTTTTTAAGGAGCATTTAGAAGACTTTGAGATGCTGTCCTTTTGGCTTTCCAATACTTGTCATTTCCTCAATTGCCTGAAGCAGTACAGTGGAGAAGAGGTAGGAATGCTTGCCTGCTCTGTGTTCTGTGCCGACTGCTGATCTATAACCTCCTCATGAGCCAGAGCTCACTATGGGGGTAGGAATTGGGGCACCAGCTCTCACTGGCTTTCTGGCCGCCTCCTCACCCAAGAGGTCAACCTCCTATCACCAGGTAACAGAAGTGACAAGCAGAAGACTTCTAAAAAGAGGCTTAGACTTTGGGCACGGTACTGAGCCTCAGTGTCCTTGAGTTTTAAATCAATGGGGTAGACTAGATGATTTTTAAGTTTCTTTCTGATTGTGAAATTCTGAAGTTTTTAGTATTATGACTCTAAACTACAGCCTTTAGTTCAACATGCCTGTTTCTTCAGAGCTGTTCTCTATAAAATTCTGGTTGTTCCCTCATAGTCCGTAAATCCTTGGCCATTTTGAAGGGACTGACATCATAAAGGAGTTTTCCACCTCCAAGTATTCACAGAGCAGAATTTCATTGATTAAATAATAACAAAATGGCTTTTAGGGTTTTTACTGTTCTCCAAAATAGTTGCACCATTTTATAAAGTGTCTCACTCAGTAGTGTATGAAGTTTCCAGTGTCTCAGACCTTCACCAACACTTAGTATTGACAGACATTATTTACCAAGCTCATGGGCATAAAACAAGACCTTGTTGACTTCAATTGAAATTACTTGATGCCAGTGAGATCAAGCATCATTTCATATGCTTATTGGTCATTTGGGTTTCCGTTTAAACTACCTATTTACATCTATTCTTTATTTTTTGGGGGGTGATTTTTTCTTATTTACTTATAGAAAATCTTATATATTATGGATAGATTGTGGTGTATCTTCTAATTTTATTTATGGAGTTCTTTTTCATACACAGTTTTTGAATTTTTATGTACTTAAATCTATCCTTATGTTATATGTTTCAAGAAATTCTCCCCTACCATGAGATCATGAAGATATTCTCTTACTTTCTTCTAAACTCTTACAATTCAAATTTAGAATTTACAATTATGCTTTTACCTATCCAAAATTGGTGCGATTAGCTATTCTACATTGACTTGTGAGGTCATGAACTCATATCTTCTTCCACATGGATAGCCAATTGTCCCAATGAAGAGAAAGTAAAACAAAATATAAAAGTATTCCTACTGGAACTATTGAACAAAAGGAGAAATAAGTAAAGAAGATCCAAGCTCTGACTAAAAGGAATGCCGAAGTGTGTAGGGGAGGGGAGGTGGGAAGAAGAGGGGAGACACAGGTTGTCCATTTAAGAAAAACTTGCATCTATGAGGCATTAATGGAAGAGGATATTATATTATACAACAGCATTTACTTTTTAGTCCTATTTTTGCCCCCTTCAGCCATGTACACAATGTTCTTTCCCCTGTCTATTTTTTCAATTACTCTATTTTTATTTCTAAAATTTTAATGGTTCTTTTTCACCTCTGCCTTTTATCATAGTGTCCTATTCTTGTCTTAATGTTTTCCTTTTATCTCTTGGGACATGTTAAACATATTGTATTCATCTGCCTGGGCTGCTATATACAAAATACCATAGACCAGATGACTTAAACAAAGAAAGTAATTGTCTCACAGTTCAGGAGACTTAAGTCCAGACCAAGGTGCCAGCAGCGCTGGTATCTGGTGAGACCTCTCTCTCTGGCTTCCAGACAGCCATCTTCTTGCTGTGTCCTCACATGGCCTTTTCTCTGCATGAGGGCGGAAAGAGATTGAGCTCTTTAGTGTCTCTTATTATAACACTAATCCTAACAGATGAGGGCCCTACCCTTATGACCTCATTTGACCTTAATTACTTCCTTAGAGACCCAATCTCTAAATATAACCACATAGGAGGTAAGGGCTTCAACTTATGAATTGGGGACCAGGGGGGGGCATGAACAGTCAGTCCATAGCACATATTTTATAATATTTCAGATCGCTTCTCGGCCTTTTGGCTAAGATCAAGTGTAGTATCTGTTCTTATCAGTTTAATATAATATTTCAGAGTAGTCTATAATCTGCAATTATAAACTCATGAATCTCGTTTATCTACTGTCCTCTTATAGCAGTTTGTATCCTTGGGTGCTTTGCAGTTTTTTTCTGCGAGCTTCCATGGGAGTGGTTTTCTACTGTGGCTTACAGGCCTGGGGGCACGTATTTGTAGGAGGAGCAGGCAGTACAGTGACACTTAGTTAATTATAGAACATAAGTGCTACTCCAAACATCAAGAACCTTTTTGATACAAATCAGACATTAAGTTGTAAAGTGTGGGAGTATAGTAGAAGCGGATTATAACATCATTAATAGAGATAGTATTTTCATTTCCTATGTGTCTATATTATGTTAATATTTACATGCCCCAAATTACTTTCAGGAATTCATGAAGCATAACAGTCCACATCAGAACAAGAACTGCTTGAACAATTTTGACCTGTCAGAATACAGACAGATTCTTAGTGATGTGGCTATACGAATATATCATCAGTTCATTATCGTCATGGAAAATAACATTCAACCAATAATAGGTAAGAAAAGAATTGATAACCAAAAATATTTATAGTAACATTGAGGCCTTAAAAAATAAATCAGGTGTATGGTTACAATGTGTGGTTATAAAGAATATAATTTCTAAAACCAAGAAAACGTAGTTGTGTATATGTGTACCTTTTAATTCTTTGTTTGCTTGAAGCAATCCCATATATAAAAGTACATGGTTCATAGTTTTTTCCTGTAAGAGCGATTCATCCTGAGGGGAAAACCGTGGAAGAGCTGCAGCTATTTATATGACTAATCCTGGGTCTTAGACAGGTGTTTCTGAAATCCTAAAGTCCTACTTCCTTCAGTTTTCTGAAATGTAAATACTTTAAATCAGGGGTCCTCAAACTTTTTAAACAGGGGGCCAGTTCACTGTCCCTCAGACCGTTGGAGGGCGGACTATAGTTTAAAAAAAAAACTATGAACAAATTCCTATGCACACTGCACATATCTTATTTTGAAGTAAAAAAACAAAACGGGAACAAATACAATATTTGTATTTGCATGTGGCCCGCGGGCCATAGTTTGAGGACCCCTGCAAATGGTCGCAGACCATGAGCTACCATGCTAACCTGCTTCCATTCCTGCAATTCTGAAAGAAGAGGTCTGCAAGCCTAGCCAGGGGCTGCTGCCCTGTTGAAAACAGCGTCTGTCCCGTCCACCTGATTCTATCGCTTTGTCACAACTACACCCACTACTAACTCTTGTAGAAAATGTCGCACCTCCTGAAACAGGCACATAGAGCAGTGAGAAAGTCCTCTGGGTGTCCCCCCTGCAGTGCCGGGCATGCTGGAGTACGAGAGTCTGCAGGGCATTTCCGGCCTGAAGCCCACGGGCTTCCGCAAGCGGTCGTCCAGCATCGACGACACGGACGCCTACACGATGACCTCCGTCCTGCAGCAGCTGAGCTACTTCTACAGCACCATGTGCCAGAACGGCCTGGACCCCGAGCTCGTGAGGCAGGCAGTGAAGCAGCTCTTCTTCCTCATCGGGGCCGTCACGCTCAACAGCCTCTTCCTGCGCAAGGACATGTGCTCCTGCCGGAAAGGGATGCAGATCAGGTAAAACCCAGACACCACCACTTCCTCCAGGAGGCTGGCGGGGAGTGATGCTCATCAAGTCTGACACACACTCCGGTCCTCCTTCCCCAAGGGCTGTAATGCCAGGGGTAGGGGCCGTGGGGCAAGGTGACTCTTAGAAGCTTAGAGTGTTTGCCACCCACTGCCCAGACCGCCTCCCATCACTCCACACTGTGCTAATTTGAGCTGTGGCAGAGTGGCTTTCACTGGGAACTAGTAACCCTGTATTTTAAAAGCCTGCCTTCTGTGGTTATCATTCACGCACCCAGGGTTTACTGACCACCACCTCTGTGAGCAGCACTGCCTGGTGCAGGACAGAGGAAAGCAAGGACAGGGCTCTGTGCCAGACATAGGCATCATGGATGTTTAGCAAGTATTTATTGAATGGATGAATGAATGCAGACAGCATGCCTGGAGGAAAGAATCATGGACCCTAGGATGGCAGCTGCAGTATAAGCACTTGGCCATCATCTTATCTTTATCTTTAAAAAAAAACAAAACAAAAAAAACCATTATATATATATATATATATATATATATATATATATATATATATATATATATATATATATTGATTTCAGAGACAGAAAGGGAGAGGGAGAGAGAGAAACATCAATGATGCACGCCCCCTACGGGGATCAAGCCTGCAACCCGGGCATGTGCCCTGATTGGGAATCAAACCATGACCTGGTTCATAAGTCAGTTGACTCTCAACCACTGAGCCACACAAGCCAGGCTGTGGTTTGATTTTCTGAACATTCCATGTGCAGTTGAAAAGAATGTATATTCTGTGGTTGTTGAGTGGGATGTTCTATAAATGGCAATTGCTGATGGTGTTTTTCACTTCTATACAGGGTGGGGATAAGTAGGTTTATTTATAGTTGTGAGTACACAAAACACAAAACAGTTTATTCCCCCTACATCTCATTTGGATATCATTTTCCTTCTGCCCGAGGAAATTCTTTTAGTAGGGCTTTTAGAGCAAGTTCACTGGCAATTAATTCTCTTAGGTTTCTTTTACCTGAAAATGTCTTCATTTCACCTTCATTCCTGAAATATATTTTTTGCAGGCTTTAGCATTCTGGGTTGACAGTACTTTTTCCCCATCACTTTAAAAATGTTTTACTTTATTCTGGCTTTCATGATTTCGGATTAGAAATGCACAATCATTTGAATTATTGTTTCCATACAAGTAATGCATAGTGTTTCTCTGGTTGCATTCAATTTTTTTCTTTGTCTTTAGTTTTCCACAGTTTGATTGTGATGTGTCTGGGTGTGATTTTCTTTAGGTTTACCCTCTCTGGGGGTTCCCTGAGCTGCTTGAATCTGTAGGTTTGTACATTTCACCAAATTTGGAACATTTCCAGCCAGTATTTCTTCAGATACTTTGCACCATAATTTCTTCTTTCCTTCTGGAACTTTGGTGACATAAATGTTAGATCTTTCATTATTGTCCTCTGAGTCCCTAAAGTTTGGTTCATTTCTTTCAGGTTTTTTTTTTCTTTCTCTGTGCTCTTCAGTTTGGATAATCTCTATTGATGCCTTAAAGTTCACTGGCTGTTTCCTCCGCCATCTCTATTCTGCTATTGATCCTATTCAGTGAGTTCTTTTATTTGTTATTGTATTTTTCATGTCTAAAATTTTCATTTTTAAAATATCTTCTATTTCTTTTCTGAGACTTTCTATCTTTTCATTTATTTCAGGATAGTTTGTTTTTACTTTTTGGAGCTTTTTTATTTTAGCTTCTTTAAAGTCTTTGTCGGGTAATTCCAACATCTGTGTCGTCTCAGAGTTGGCATCTGTTGATTATCTTGTTTAGATGTGAGTTGAGCTTTTCCTGGCTCTTTATATGCCAAGAACAGATACTCCTCAACTTATGGGGGTTACATCCTGATAAACCCATGACAAGTTGAAAATGTTGTAAGCTGGAAATGCATTTAATACACTTACCAGTACCTACAGAATATCATAGCTTATCCTACTACCTTAAACGTGCCCAGAACACTTACATGAGCCTAAATTTGGGCAAAATCATCTAACACAGAGCCTATTTTATATTACTTTGACTATATCATATAATTTATCATAAATATCACTTCATATCATCGTAAAATTGAAACATTATAAGTCAAACCATCATAAGTCAGGGACCATCTGGTAATTCTGAATTGTTTCCTGGACACTTCTAATATTATACTATGAGACTCTGGGTCTTTAAGTCCTGTGGAGAATGTGGATATTTTTATCAGATAGTCAGCCCATTTGGGTTCAAGCTGCAAGTTCTGAGTATCCCCTGGGGGCTGTGGTTCCCATGTCAGCTCATTTTTCAAAGTCTTTGTAATGCTATTTGGTTCTGCCTCATGTATAACACACAGTGGCCAGACTGAAACTTGGCTCTTGCTCTGTCCCATAGTTTAGTCCTCACATCTGTATGTGCTATTGAGGGTCAGATCCATGTGTGGGTTCGGGGGTGCGCCCAGGAGTTCATAAACAACTTTAAGGGGTCACTTTCCCAAGCTCCTTCCTCTCCATAACCCCCTGGTACTTTCCAGCTCCTTGCAGATCCCCTGTTTGCCGCCGCCGCCCCCCCCCCCAACTGAAAATGGGGGCTTTACTTTATTTTATTTATTTATTTATTTATCCTCACTGAGGATATTTTTCCATTGATTTTTAGAGACAGTGGAAGGGAGAGGGAGAGACACAGAGAGAAACATCGATGTGAGAGAGATACATCAATTGGTTGCCTCCCCCATGCACCCTGACCAGGGCCAGGGATCGAGCCTGCAACCGAGGCATGAATCAGCCTTGACTTGAATCAAACCTGGGACCCTTCAGTCTGCAAGCCAACGCTCTAGCAACTGAGCCAAGCTGGCGAGGGCCGGAGACTTTACTTAACTCTCTGTGTGGCACAATTCCTAGAAATGTCCCCATCTGGGGACAGGTGGAGGGAGGATAGAGCAGTGGGACTTCTTGGAGCACAGCTCCTCCAGTTGCAGGAACTTCCCTCCTCTCAGAGTTTAGGTTTCTATTGGACCTTTTGCCACCATTGCCATCACCAGCTGATTGTTTGGGGCTTGACTATGAGAGAATGGAGAGAAAGAAAGAAAATGGAGAAGAAAAGAAAAACAGGAGATTTCCACCCTCTCTCTGAGCATTAGGACACCCCTCTCCGCTCCTAGAGCCAGAACTAGATTATTCCTCCTGGAGCTCGTTGTTGGCCTCAATGTTCACTACTAAGTTTCAGGCTGCTTTGAGTTCAGTCAGGCCAACGAATAGCAGGAGGAAAAAACTGGCAAACTCACTATCAAGTGGAGATACTTCAAAGTCTGGTTTTCTTCCCCGATCCACCTGCTACTGTTCGCTTTTCAGAGTCCCCAGACAGCTGCTCCAGGCATTCCATCCAGGCTTTACAGCTGCGTTTGGTGGGAGAGGCATAGTGGGGGGTGCTTTCTCCATCGTAGCAGGAGCCAGGACTCCACCGAAGACTTTTGAGCAGGAGAATTAACATGCTCAAAATTCAGATTTAGAAGGTGCTGTGGCAGGAATAAGATGGGTAAGAAGGAGTGAAATGGGAGGCTCATTAGGTATCTATTGTAATAAGAACTCAACCTAGCAGGACAAAATAGACAATGAAAAAAATGAGGGGATGAACCAGTACAAGAGGTGTTACTTCACTCATTGCATTCCTGTGGAATACACTAATTCAGCATTAGCGCCTCAGTGTTATAACCAAAGAGAAGAATCAACGTCCTCTGATCACCTAGTTCAACA